AAAAACAAAAGAAGCAGAAAAGCTTACAGCTGCATGAGTCGTGACTGTCACGTTAGTCTGATGGGACCAAACTCTCTTTGTGATTTTAAAACGTAAGACAGTACCCAGATTTGAAGACTACAGTATGATTTAACTTCTACTGTTAATACGATTTTGGTAGGCTACTATTAGATGGATAGCCTAAATGGCCTAATTCAGATGGGCTACCTGTTTTTTTTTTTTTTAATGGTACATCAAAAAGTGTATATTTTTTAAATGTGATTGTTGGTACATTTTACCAGTTTTTACCATACTTTCAAAACAAAAATTAAAATAGAAAAAATATGCAATATGAAAATAATTTAAGACAAAATGTGTTTTACTGAGAAAAAACAAGATTTGGTTTTTAAAAAGCCTTTTTCCAAAAGGTACATCTGGAAAAAGGGGGGTCGTCTTATATTCGGGCCAATACGGTAGTATTATAATTTTTTTAACATTTTTGACTTGTTTTCTTTTATAAATATCTAAACATTCTTGAATGAAGATGCTTTTACTTGAGAATCAAGATGATTTAAGATATTAAGTCTTGTTTTCTAAAAAATGTATTAACATTTTGTTGTTTTTTTGCTTAAAACAAGAACACTTATCTGCCAATGGGGTAAAAAAAAACTTAATTCAAAGGCAAAACAAAACAACTTTAGTAAGAGTAAAAAGTATCAGATGAAACACGCAGGCACACACACACACACACACACACACACACATATATATATATACAGTGGTGTGAAACAGTGTTGGCCCCCTTCCTGATTTCTTATTTTTTTGCATGTTTGTCACACTTTAATGTTTCAGATCATCAAACAAATTTAAATATTACACAAAGATAATGCAAGTAAATACAAAATGCAGTTTTTAAATGATGATTTCATTTATTAAGGGAAAAAAGCTGTCCAAACCTACGTGGCCCTACGTGAAAAATTAATTGCCCCCTCCTGTTAAATCATGAAAGAACTGCAATTAACCACATTATTTTAGAAAGCTGAGTTAAATTTCACTAGCCACACCCAGGCCTGATTACTGCCAGACCTGTTGAATCAAGAAATCACTTAAATAGAACCTGTCTGACAAAGTGAAGCATGCTTAAATAGCAACACATCATGCCGCGATCTAAAGAAATTCAAGAACAGATCAGAATCAAAACAGTTGACATGTATCAGTCTGGAAAGGATTATAAAGCCATTTCGAAGGCTTTGGGACTCCAGCGAACCATGGTCAGAGCCATTATCCACAAATTGAGAAAACTTGGAACAATGGTGAACCTTCCCAGGAGTTGCCGGCCAACCAAAATTACTCCAAGAGCACAACGACGACTCATCCAAGAGGTCATAAAAGAACCCAGAACAACATCTAAAGAACTGCAGGCCTCACTTGCCTCAATTAAGGTCAGTGTTCATGATTCAACAATAAGAAAGAGACTGAGCAAAAACGGCATCCATGGGAGAGTTCCAAGGCAAAAGCCACTGCTGACCAAAAAGAACACAAAGGCTCGTCTCACATTTGCCAAAAAATATCT